GTGGAGCACAAAGTTTCCCTGTAAGAAATTAAGATGGAGGAATTATTTATGGCTGCACAACCACCGAGCTTCTCAAGGGTCAGATATTGCTGTTGTCTTACATCTGGTTAGTTCCTGCTGTCACTCCTTTTTAATTGTTCTGAGCTCGTAACATTTGCCACATGTCATCCTGATTTTCTCTCTTTCAGGGCGATGTTATTGGACCACATCACAAACTGCTCTTCTCTGACCTGCTACGTTAGCTTAATGCACGTTATCTCACTGACATTTACGCCCGTGTTATCGTATCTTTGTAATATTCTCGTGAGGTGAAGTGCAGCAGAGGCGCGTCTCTGGCTGACTTCTATCAGACACTTGATCTTAATCAGAGCTGAAGCCGTGTGATATGAAGCAGCCGCTCATGCAGTAAACGAGGATCGAAGTCCGTGAGTCATTTTCTGTTTGTCTTCTCTTTCCGCAGTTTTCATCTGTAGCTTCATGGTGGCAGCTCCCATCTTTGGTTACCTGGGCGACCGCTTCAACAGAAAGGTCATCCTGAGCTGTGGCATTTTCTTCTGGTCCATTGTTACCCTGTTGAGCTCCTTCATCAGTAAAGAGGTACGGCTCTCACACAGCTCCACTGTCATAGACGAGGTCATTATTCTGTAATGATCTGGACATGCTCGACGTTAAGGCAAGCAAAATGTAATGATATGCTTATTAAGTGCGATACCCGCTCTGCCTTTGTAGACATGCTCTGCCTGCGCCCTCTCTGGCTGGCAGCCAGCTAATGAAGGCCTCACACTTGTCTCACTCACAATGGTTTGGAAGATAAAACTCATTTCGCTTGTCTTTTACGAGCAGATTTAGACTGTGTGTCTCCTCTGTGTGCGAGGAGATGCTTTAAACGGCCTCATCATTCATTCGTGGAGGCGATAAAACGGGGGAAGGGGCGTCCCGCTGAGAGTCGACATCAGATTAGAGTAAAAGGCTCGGCTCTTGGATGTCTGCGTGGGGGCGTCGACGGGCTCGTGATGCCTTCTTGACACGACGGTTGTAATGAAAATCTGACAAAGTGACTGAAATATGTGCAAAGCTGTGTTAGTCAAATTTATGGAGCAGTGAGTGCAGAGCATCGCCACGCTGCAGTGTCTCCAGCAAGCAAACCGCCGAGCACTTCAGCCCCGAGCTCAGGTCTCAGGAGGCTGTCCTCTGTCCTCTGTCCTCTGTCCTCTGTCCTCGACTCAAATACATCGAGGCCACTCTTAGATAAGTTGAAGTTAAGGAGCTCTGACGAATCCCACAAAGGCCGCTGATGGCTCACGTCCTTTGTCTCCAGCTCCACCCTTAAGACATGTTCCTGAGCCGATCAAATGAGGCGCGATGGCTGTTATATAATAGCTGTGGCTCTGTCACCAGGAGAGATGAAAGACACGACAGACGAGCGCTTACAACAGACTCCTGTCATGATGCGTTCGAGGCGCTCTGGGGCGTTTGGAAGGACTCGCAGGAGATGCAGGATTCAGATCTTACATAAGAGAAATTCACCACAAAGTGAAACTTTCTCCTCATGACCACAAGATTATGTCATAAAGTGATCACTCGTGCTTTATTTTAACATGTTGAAGCTTATTACTCGCTGCTCCTTACTATACGCCAGAAAACAGCAGATTGTGCTGCAGCTCGTCTACCTCTGCTAGTTTTTATATGTTATATTTCCAGGACTAAACCTTAGTTTAGTGGAAAGCATCACTCAGTGTCATCGAGAGTGTGAGACGAGGACACTGAGATCTTTTGTTGGACGAACTCCACAGATTGATTTTTGGTTTATACTTTTATGACGGTATCATCTTTATAATGGTGTTGTTGTGTGACTGCCCTTCAGCCAGTCTGCATGACTCAGACACACGCAGGTAAAAGTCCACTTGGAGTTTACTCCAAACAGGAAAACTTTCAAATCAAGCAGAAAGAGAAAAGAAAGTTCCAGGTTAGCTGGGGTTAAAAAACAAGAACATCTATGAATAACTGGAAAGCTCTGGCAGCAGCACAAAGACAATCAGGCAAGGAATGGTCTTTGTTCCCTCAGCACATGTCATGAGGGCACTCACAAAGGGAGTGAAGTGCAGATGAGCAGAGGGAAAAATCATGTGATGCGACTGGCGGGAAAGCAGGAAAGGTGGGAGTGGCTTAGTCAGAAATGACAGAAGAGTTAGAAGCAAGGACGCGTCTGTCAGCAGGCACGGCACCGTTTACAAAGGTGGAGGAAGACACACCGAGGACGAAGAGCAGTTAATGATAACTAATGACTAAATGCACCTGTAGGCCACCTGATCCAGCTCTAACAGCTTTACCAAAAAGGAAAGTTTTTAATCTTAAAAGCAGAGCAGGTGTCTGTCTCCCAGTCCAAACTGGTAGTCCTGGTTCCACAGACGAGGGACCTCCCATTCTACCTTTAATATAACCAAAGAAGCGAGTCGACGTGGACGTAAATGATAAAAGTTTGCTTCAAAGTAACAAAGGACCAGAGACGAGTCCCTGAACTGGTGTCCTGTAGATAAATATCAGACTGTCTGTGCTT